GCTGAGCCTACTTACTTATTTTTTTGAGACAGAGTCTCACTTTGTTGCCCTTGGTAGAGTGTCATGGTGTCATTGCTCACAGCAACCTCAAACTCTTGGGGTCACGTGATCCTCTTGCCTCAGCCTCCCAAGTAGTTGGGACTATAGGTGCTGGCCACAATGCCTGGCTATTTTTTTTTTTTTAAAATATTTTGTTTATTTATTTGCTTAATTTTTTTGTTGTTGCAGTTTTGGCTGGGGCCAGGTTTGAACCTGCCACCTTTGGTATATGGGACCAGTGCCTTATACCCTGAGCCACAAGCACTGCCCTGCCTGGCTATTTTTAAGAGACAAAGTTTTGCTCTGGCTCAGGCTGGTCTCGAACCTGTGAGCTCTGGCAATCTACCTGCCTTGGCCTCCCAAGTGCTGGGGTTGTAGGTGTGAGGCACCACATCTGGCCCATAATGTTTCATTTAATTTTTTTTGTTTTAGAGACAGAGTCTCACTTTGTCATCCTTGGTAAAGCACTGTGGCATCACAGCTCGCAGCAATCTCTAGCTCCTGGGCTTAGGCAATTCTCCTGCCTCAGGCTCCTGAGAAGCTGGAACTACAGGTGCCCGCCACAATGCCCAGCTATTTTTTTGTTGTTGCAGTTTGGCCCGGGGCCAGGTTTGAACCCCTCATGGTATATGGGGCCAGCGCCCTACTCACTGAGCCACAAGTGCTACTCTGTTTCATTTAAAAAATGTTTAAAGGATTCTAAGACAAATCCTTACTTGACAAGTATCAATTCTAGACTATCAACCCTAATTGAATATCAATGTACTTGAGAGATATTACAAGACAAATGCTCAAAAAATTTTGATAAAGTGGTTTGTTTTTGAAAATAAAAGTTGAAACAGTAGTGTGGAATGAAGACTATTTTGAAGTTACTCTATTATTATGCTCAAACTATTAAGTAATTTGAAAGATAAATCTTTGAAAAAAATGAAAGTATACATACCCTACACAAATTTTTAGAAATAAATTCAATATTTTCCCTTCTAATTAAAATATTTCAAAAAGGTTCTTTCATAGAAATTTACAAATATAGCATTTAAATTCTTTCAGAAAGAATCACAAGAACAACACTATTATTAGGGAAAATTTTTCATTTTCTGTAGAAATTATTTCTACTTCAGAATAGCCAAAAATCAATGATATCCTGATCACTTAAGAGAAAAGAGTTTGGAATTCTCCTACTGTGTACTATTAATATTTGTGAAATCCTTAGCCAAGCATTGTGGCAGGCACCTGTAGTCCCAGCTACTCAGGAGGCTGAGGCAAGAGAATTGCCTGAGCCCAAGAGTATGAACTGTGAACTATGATACCATGGCACTCTACCAAGGGCGACAAAGTGAAACTCTCCCCTTCCCCCCCAAAAATCTGTGAAATCCAAGGCAAATCCCTTAATCTCTTTGAACTTTGTTTTTTTCCTAAAACATTAGGATAAAACCTACCTTGCAAGATTTTGACAACTGGAAAAAACACATTGTGATGTTCCTTCCACTTTTACACTCAGCTGGTGAGAATGTTACTTAGCGTAACCATTCTGAAAAATTCGGATGACCTATAAAAGTTGAACATTCAAATACCTATGGACAACAATTCCATTCCTGGTTCTGCACTGTCCAACAGCGTAGCCAATGGCTCTTGAAAATGTGGCTAGTGCAATTGGGAAACTGGGAATTTTAATTTAATTTCAGTTAATCTTAATCTTAAAACAGATTCTCAAATCAGTTATTGGAAAATATTAAAATATATTCAAACAATTTGGGTATATGAATCTTTTTCACTTGTAAATTGAAATACAGATCAGTGTTTATATTTATGAAAGCTGAGTAACTTTTTTTTTTTTGAGACAGTCTCACTTGCTCACCCGCAGTAGAGTACCGTAGTGTCTTAGTTCACAGCAATCTCAAACTTTAGGGTTGAAGTGATCCTCCTGCCTCAGCCTCACAAGTAGCTGGGATTACATGTGCCCACTATAATACCTGGTTATTTTTAGAGATGGGGTCTTGCTCTGGCTCAGGCTGGTCTTGAACCTACGAGCAAGGGCAATCCACCACCCTCGGCCTTCCAAGTGCTGGTATTATGGGTGTGAGCCACTGCGCCCGGCAAACTTTGTAACTTTTTTTTGTTGTTTGAGACAGAGTTTCACTCTATCACCCTCGGTAGAGTACCATGGCATCGGCAATCTCCATCTCTTGGGCTTAAGGATTGTCTTGCCTCAGTCTCCTGAGTAGCTGGAACTATAGGTGTCTGCTACAATGCTTGACTATTTTTGTTGCAGTTGCCACTGCTGTTTTAGCTGGCCAGGCCAGGTTTGAACCTGCCACCCTAGGTATATGGGGCTGGTGCCCTACTCACTGAGCCATAGGCGCCGCCCTAAAACTTAGTAACTTTTAATGCTGATTACATCTTGAAATAATATTTTCAATATACTAGATTAGATGAAATATTTTATTTAAATTGATTTTATCTTTAATCACTTTACAATATAAAACAAAATCAAATTCAAGTCAGGAGAAGGGGGTAGGAAGAAGGATTGGTGTGATCTTACCTAAAGGGCACAATGTAAGGGTATAGAGTATACCTCCTGGGTGAAGGGCTCAACTACAACCTGGGCTTTACCTAACAAATGCAAACAATGTAACCTAATCATTTGTACCCTCATATTAATCTGAAATTTATGGCTACTTGAAAATTCAAGATTATATATGTGGCTTGAATTGCACTTCTTTCCTTTTTTTTTCGGTGACAGAGTCTCACTCTGTTGACCCTGGCAAGAGTGCCTTGGTGTCAGCCTGGCTCACAGCAACTTCAAATTCCTCAGATCAAGTGATTCTTCTGCCACAGCCTGCCAAGTAACTGCAACTATAGGCACTTGCTACAATGCCTGGCTATATTTTTTTTCTATTAATTCAAGTCAATATAAATGGGATCAAAGTG